GACCACACAACGGTGTGCAGAGACTGTCAGATAAAAACAATTTCCTTGGAAGCGTCATGAGAAAACCTTACGAAGTGCAAAGGCGTGGCAGGAGAAGAGAATTGTGCCTGTGACTGCCACGTGACGACCTGTTCTCCAGGAAGACGTTCCCACACTATCTCCATGGCTACCCCCAGGGAAGTGTCTATGATCCAGTCTTAAAGCAAATGAACATGGTGATGTTCAGGACCAAGTCTCATCAGGACCGAGCTGAGCTCACACCGTCTCTGTAAGGAAAAGGCGTGTGCCTTCTGCGCAATCGACTCGCTCACGTCCCGCCAGAGGAACAGAAGGGAAACTTGCCTAGATCGGACTCCAGGCTTTACTGCCGTCTTCACGGAAGACAAGAGTGGTACCTACCCTCGGGAAACACCCCTAGAAGCAGAAGTGATGGGCAATATTTAATGACGACCATCTCACTGAGACTTGGCCTTCTTTTCCAGTTTACTGACCAAGGATTTCATTTCCAAGATATAAGTTGTTACAAAAACATCTGTATTCTCTTTTTCTCTTTCACATTCTCTAGAACGCATTCAATATATCGTGTACTGTGACCATAAATATTCCTTCTATGGCTTCTATCTGGATGGAGATAGTCATATCTCAGGATGCGTCACAGCTACAAGGCCAGGTGGCAGACTTTCCAAGTACATCTACTCGTACTCTGAAAGTATTAATAGTAAGAGAGGTATTGTTCTAAGAGTGAAAATAGCCTAAAATTCCATAGCCACACAATCTCTAACATGTAGCTGGAATGATGGCATCTTACACGTGCGATGTAGCTGACGTTTGTCATCAGATAATCCAACAGTCATTGCCAACTCCTCCCCCTTCAGCCAATCTCCAACTGTAGCTGGGTAGCTACATGACCCAGCTCCAGCCAACGAGACCTAAAGAGATGTCTGCGTTTACAGTCGTCCCTCTGTATGCGCGGGGAATTGGTTCCAGGACCCCCGAGATACCAACATCCTTGAAAGTTCAAGTCTCTGGTGTGAAATGGTGCAGTATAAACCTAGGCACACCTCCCGTATACTTTAAACACCTCTAGATTACTTACAACACCTAATGCAATGTAAATGCTATGTCGACGGTTGTTGAACTGTATTGTTTAGGGAATGATGACAACGAAAACGTCTGTACATGTTCAGTGCAGACCCAGTATTTTCAACCTGCAGCTGGTCGAATCCGGAGATGCGGAGCCCACAGGTATGGAGGGTGGACTGCAGTCTCCTAGGAAGAGGGACAGGCATGGCCAGCACTGCCCCTTCCCCCTCGTCCCACCCCAGAGACACAAAACGCCTGCAGCTACGGTGGCCACATCACACTCGTGAGGATAAAGCATCAACCAGCTGCGGACGCCAGAGCAGCGGTAAAGCTGCCTGGCCCCAGCGGTGTGGCTGAAGAAGTAAATTGTTTGCCTCAGAAATCTCACTACTGAAAAAGACAAACTGCTATTTGTTTTAAAACCAATCATGAGATTTTTCATTACTTACAGCTGAAAGCATTGCAAACGCAAACGCTCAGGCTCCGAGAAAGATACTACCGCGCATCCTTCTGTAGGCGTAACTTGAGGATTTGCTCTGGTAGAATAAAGAAGAAAACCAAGGAGGAGGACAAGGTGGGACCTAGAAAACGGTGGCTGCGCTCAGGAGAGCTGCAAAGGAGCCCCCGGTGATGGCCACGGGGCAGGCCCACGTGGAAGCATCACCCGAGAGTGGCAGCTGCGCAAGGAGATGCTAGGGACAAAGGGCACATTCTGCACTTCGATGCTCTCCTTGAGAACTTGGAAATTAAAGTGTTACAGGTATGTAATTAAAGAAGAAAAACGTCCAGGGAAAGCAAACAAACAAAAATAGTTCTAAAAAAGTGTATATCTCGGGGCCCTATTTAGCCATTCAAAGGCCAATATTTACCTGGTCATCATCAGGTAACAAGGTTTAATTTTTGTCCTATTATAGAATCAACCCAAACTCTAAACAGAGAGGCTTAATTATGGCTGGAAAATGGAAGACGGTTATAAAAGTAAAATGTGGATGACAAAAGTTGGGAAAGACAGGCAGCAAAAGAAAGCGCAGGAAGCTACGGGCCTGAAAACCAAAAGGTGTCATGTATTATCGATAAAACTAGAAATAAGCGCATAACGATATCATTTAAAACTGCAAAGGTTACAAGTGCAGAGAAATCAAATAAAGCAATGGAACCAGGCGGCAGCGGGGGAGCAGGAAGGTGCAGTTAATGAAACAGCCCCTCCAATCCAGAATTTTCTCTTTGGGACTCACTCTTGAACACAAATAACAAGTATTAATTAAAACTATCATGTAACATGTTTATTCTGTACCAGACTTGTACATAACTTCTCCATTCTTTGAAAAGAGTCTATTAATGGCAGCTCTGCTCTTGGTCTATATGGTAGGAGAAAGCCACAGAGAACCTAAAATTGGTGCAGCGAGAAACAGTAGCATCAGCGTGTCATTTACAGATGTGGAGAGAGCGTCCAGGGGGCTGGAGACACAGACAGCTGGAAGAGGTGCCTTTGGTGGCAGAGTCCAGCAGGGGAGGTGCGGGGCCAGGACTGTTTATCTGCTACAGGCCCTCTGTGCTACTTGATTTTTTAAACCACGGCATATACTAATTTGGTAAAAATAGAACTACTTACTGAAAAAGAGAAGATGGAAAGCAGAGAGACTCGAAGATTGTCCTTAATTTTCAAATTGCGAAGCAATGAAAAATACAAGGAAGATTACTGAGTGACAGATACGCATTTTTCTGGCCACAAAGAAGTTTCGATTGTGCGCGATGATTTGCGCTGTGCTTCCGTGAAGCCTCCTCCACCCGCAGCTCCTCTGAGCGGCGCACGGTGAACACCCCGCGCTCCCAGGACAAGCACAGCGCCACTGACAACACGAAAGCTGATGATCGTCTCACAAAATTTATGTCACTCATATTTGTGTTAATGTTTGTTATCTGGAGGCTTTCTGGTCCAAGTAACCATTTTCTTGCATTATATTTAATCATTTTTTACTCTATTTTTTTAAACACTGCTACAAATCATTTACCTGCCAATTTCTTTCAGGTCACGTGTTATACAATAAAAAGTATTAAAATATATTGTGAATTTACAAAGAATTTGGCTAGCTGTAGAGAAGAAATGAATATTTTAAAAGAATAAACCTAACAGGCCACATAAGATTACTTTTTCTACAGCAGATAGCAAAAGAACTAAAATGAACATTAGGAGAGTAGCTGGGAGCCAATTTTATCATTTTAATTTCCGCTGTTTATGCAAGAGACCAGCTTAACAATAGCCAATATAGTAAGTGCAATAGAAAAACACAAGACTGATCTACATTGTAATTAAGAAAAAGAAGGAAGATAAAAATCAGAGCTAATTATAAAGCATATGGTATAATGCTGTGTTGCTGTCTATTTGCCACCTCAGTTAACATTTTTTTTTTCCTTTGATCTCCTTCGTGAGGAATGACTCAATTAAACATTTTTTTCCAAAAAAGATGCATGGAAATCTTTTGTGTAGCACTTAATGAAATGAACAGTGTCTCAGGCTGATTAATCCTTGGCAACATACAGAGAACACATACAATACTAACTGAGCGGATACTCAAAGTGTGACAAAGTAAACATTTAATGTTACCCATGAGCTAGAAATGCGGCCTTCTGCTAAAAGGGGAGAGGGACTATATTGAACATGTTTTAATTAACTAAGACTGATGTATTGGTCTTTCCCTTAATCACTCTACCGCCCATAAATTGGGTGCAAAAATCAGCCAGGATTCTCTGGCATTTTAATTTATGTATTATAAATGTAAAAAAAATTTTTTGCAATATTTATTACTTGATGCAAGGAAAAGTAAATTACCTCTCATTGCCTTGAGTTTTTAGCACTCATTAGATAAACTATCCCCTGGGTAAACTCAGATGAAATGCCTAAAAGCAAGGTAAAAATTTGATGATACAAAACCTGATCTTTCCCTTCTCTTGTTACAAAATACAAAACAGAGAAACTTGTGGCGTTCGGTTTGATTTTCATGGATAAAGGGCATTATATGCATCACTCATGCGATGTTCTGGTAGGGACTTACTTTGTAAATACAAAATAGCACACTCCAGACATGCTCACTTCAAATTCTACCAAATAGAATTTCAAATTTTGTTGCTGATTATGTTAGCATTATTCTCTGATGAAATGTGAAAAACATAACATACATTAAAATTGAACAGACCCAAAAAGGCTCGAGGAAACATACTCATGACCATTTCTGTTCCTGAATCACAAATTTCCTGTATTGCAGCCAATCAGAGTTCATGACCCCCTCGAGGTTGCAGAATATTTTATTCTGACACTCTTGTGCCGGCCACAGGATAGAGGCCTCTTAATTGAAACTGCCTCTTCAATTTGTCTTTAGAATTCACTGTTTAATTCAAACATCAAATATTAATTAAAACAACCAAGCAAAACGTCTCTTCATTATCAGAGCGCCACACAGGCTCGCCGGTCCTTTAAATGGGAGCACCAATGACAGCTGCTTTGGTTTGTTTTCTATCCTTTAGCTTAGTGGGCTTTTGAGAAACTGGGGAAGACGCTAGTGGACTCGAAGACTGTGCAATCAAACATACGGGTCCACTTCTCCTAAAATAACGTCTGCTTTACTTTAACATTTATTTTAGAGGTAGAGACCGCTGGGACACAAATCAACTCTACTAATGTTATCACTTAATTAACGTTCAGATTAAAAATAACACTGAGTAAAATGAGATGTAAAAATAAGCCCACAAACCTGTGCGGAGTACCCTCCCAGTTCTATGTCATCGAACACACCATCCGCCCTGAGCGCTCCAAGCACACCTCCATTCAGAGAACGTCCTGCACCCCCAACCTACCAACCTCCCCACCCCACCCTCACCCCAGGAGGCAAGAGCAGAGACCTGGCGACACTGTGCCTCACCTCCAGCTCCTGCTCCCGCTGCAGGGCGAACTGTTTGAAGGACTTGACGATAAGGCCGGCGTTGGAGCAGTCGTAGACGAATATCGACGGGCTGCCCATCCACGTCTGCAGGTCATAGATGGACAGGGGGATGTACTGCGTGTAGTTCTGGAAAACAAAGTGCGCACACGTCACGTGTACATCGTAAGAACACAGGCTGCTAACAAGTACCTGCTCTTTAAAGGAAGGTACGACTCATTCTGCTGGTCAGAGAGATGGAGTTCTCGAGTTATCATTTATTCAAAACTATCGTAACAGCAAACTAAACTTCTGCACATTTACTGACGTGATGTCTCACTCCTGTAAGTGTCCAGTGCTGGACCAAGTTCACATCCCTCGCCCCAGAGCACCTCTGCAGCTGCTGCGGCTCCAGCTACCCGCTGTCTCCTTAGAGCATGTGTTCGCACCCCTGCGGGACTCCGCGTATCCCACGCCGCTCTCATAAACAAAATAGATACACATGCTGTTCACACCGTTTCTCTGCCCACCCTTTTACTCTGTACCACGTCTGTGCTTAGACAACATGACACACCTCATCGTGAGAGAGATGAGCTCTGATGAGCAAGGTCCTCAAACTTGCACGCCACCCTCTCTGAGTTCAGAGATGCCAATAAGCACTTTATCCTCTAAATGCCTCCAAGAATCACACGTAAGGGGTGCAAGTGGGTTTGGCACTGCACGTGTTTTACAAATCACAGAACAATAGCCTATTAACACCAATCCTCTAAGTCTGCGGTCCCGACCCCCAGCACCGGTCCGTGGCCGCCAGGAACCTGCACAGCAGGAGGCGAGCAGCGGCCAGGCGAGCGAAGCCCCACCTGCACCCACAGCTGCTCCCCATCACTCGCGTCGCTGCCCGAGCCCCGTCCCCGTCAGATGGGGGCATCGGACCCCCACAGGAGCTCGAACCCCACTGCAAACTGTGCGTGCGAGGGATCCAGGCTGCGCTCCCCAAGAGAGTCCAAGGCCTGGTGATCTGAGGTGGAGCCGAGGCAGCGATGCCCCTCCATTGCCCCACCCCCGGCTGTGGAAAAACTGTCTTCTACAAAACCAGAGCCTGGTGTCAAACAGTTGGGGACCACTCCTCTAAGTGACACATTTTTCTGGACACATTGTACTGTTTAGCACCTGAAAAGACTCTAGTGATTATTGGTAAATGGAGAGAAGAAGGTTCTCATCCCACTGGGGAAAAAGCTAGGATTTTAAAGCAATTCTCCTCCATGGAATGCCTTCGCCTGTTTACCTTTCCTCGGACATCAACGGAGTCAGTGGTGAAACTCTGGCAGAAATCGGATTCTCAGAAATTGGCAGAAATCAAACTCACAGTGAAGGTGCGTTTGTTTCTCAGCAGCTGGGCCACACGCACCCCTCTGGCACTGCCTATAGCACTGTCTACAGCGCAACAGAAGAAAGGGGAGGAGACAGACAACCACACGAGGCCTGGGAGTATCAGGCACCCAGGAGCCAGCAGAGGCTCCGGACATGTGCAGCAAAGAACCAGAAGCGAGTTCCACGCCAGGCATGACAATGCAACACGCCAACAACATAGGTGCGCAGACATCTACACCATGAGAGAGGACCGCTCTCTTCTTACACTCAGCAGTTTCACGTCGTTGAACTGCCCTCACCTGGCGGGTTGTTTACGGTCAGTGTGCTGTGTGAGAGAACACCTGGAAACGCTCTCGCCAAATGAGCTCTCACTGATGGAGTCCACAGATGTCAATTCTGTCCTAATGAGTCTAGAACGTCAAGCCAAGTCCAGTTTTTTCCCTTTAATGGAATTGGACAAGCTTATTCTAAAGTCAGTGCAGAAGAGAAGTGCACAAGAGTAAGAATAATTTAACAAAGAATAACGAATAGGGAATCACACTGCCAGATGTTGAACATACTCTAAATCTGTGGCAATGACAGGATGGCACTAGGGAGGGTGAGACCACAAATCGACAGAAGAGAAAGCCCAGACACAGCCCGCATAGACAGCTGGGATGAAGGTGGCTTTCAAGTCAGTCAAGAAAGAATGTAGTTTAGTAAGTAAACCAGAGTGGATTAAAAACCTAGCTGTAAAAGCACAATAAAATATTTTTATTTATTTTGGTGTAAGAAAGGCCTTCTTAAACAAGTCACGAAACCTAGAAGTGTTAAAGAAAACGACGGGCAGATACAATACGATCAAAATTATATAATGCTGATAAAAACACATACCAATTCCATGCAGCAATTTTAGAAGTAGGTACAACATGCGTGACGGAGAATTTACATTGAGAATGTGTGTACATAAGCTGCAGCTACAGATGAACAAAGGACAGAACAAAAAAATACAAAAACAGGCAAAAGATACAAACAGGCAATTCACAGAAGCAGCAAGAACGGTCAGTGATCCTGAGAAGGGTTTCATGCTCTCAATTAATCGTGTAAATGCAAATTACAATGAGAATCCATCCATCCATCCATCCTTCCATCCATCCATCCATCCTATCATTTCCATCTGGCAAACCGGAAAGAAAGATAAAAGATGAGTAATACCCATGTTGACAAGGATGTGTTCAATAGGGCACTCATTGACCGGTGGTAGGAATGTAGATCAAGGGAGCTTTTTTTGGAAGGCAATTTGGCAGTATTTGTAAAAATTTTAAATATACATTTCTTTTGACTGCTTCTAGGTATCCACCCTATAGAAACAAATGCATGTGCACGCAGAGATGTATGTACAAGGATATACAGCATCTTGGCTGGTAAAAAACTGTAAACCATCCAAATGTTGCTGTGGTAGAGCCTGCTAGTCTAACATCTTATTTTGCCTTCTTCTTTACCAATGGAGTTTTAGCTGAACATTCTGTCCAGCTGCCTTTACAGCTAAGTCTGTTCCTATAGCCCAATTCCAGCCCGTGGGACCTGGTCAAAAGTGCATTGTCCAGATAGTAAGTGCTGCTCCAGTGCTCACCCATGTCAGGGTGTGGAACGTGGTGAACCATCTTCCACCATGCCACAGACAACACCCACCATGCCACAGACAACACCCACCATGCCACGGACAACACCCACCAGGCCACAGACAACACCCACCATGTCACGGACAACACCCACCACGCCACAGATAACAGCCACCATGCCACAGACGACACCCACCATGCCACAGACAAAAGCCACCATGCCACAGACAACACCCACCATGCCACGGACAACACCCACCATGCCACAGACAACATCCACCATGCCACAAACACCCACCATGCCACGGACAACACCCACCATGCCACAGACAACATCCACCATGCCACAAACACCCACCATGCCACGGACAACACCCACCACGCCACAGATAACAGCCACCATGCCACAGACAACACTCACCACGCCACAGACAAAAGCCACCATGCCACAGACAACACCCACCATGTCATGGACAAAAGCTACCATGCCACGGACAACAGCTGAGGGACAGTGGGGCCAAGGGACAGAAGAAACTTAGGCCCCAAAGGCCGACATGGGCTATTACATAGAGACAAATCAAATTCTACTTTACATTTTAAAAACCCAAAATAAAGGGGCTGAACTAGAGCCTGATATACACAACATGAAGGAATCAGTGGGCAAAGTACTGTCCACACACCACATGTCCACGTTACAGAACTGCCCCGTGACAGAGACTGAGGTTATTTACATGCACTGATGTGGAAAGATGCCAGAGGCTTATGATGATTTTTAAAATGTTTTAGAGCGTCACATGCAACATGGTCTCATTTTGTGTGGGAGAAAGGAGAGCGGAGAGTGTAGAGCATCACGCCCCCGCCACCTGAGCTCTGCTCCGCATGCAGTGAGAATGCGGCAACCGCGCTGATGACTGGCTCGCATCGCTGGTGCTGAAAGAATGAATGTCTCACTGCAAGGGCTGGACAGGGTGGAGGGTGCCATAGCTAATTTTTTTTTTGACACAATCTTGCTCTGTTGCCCGGGTAGAGTACAGTGGCATCATCATAGCTCACTGCAGCCTCCAACTCCTGGGCTCAAGGGATCCTCTTGCCTCAGCCTCCGAGTAGCTGGGACTACAGGTGCACACCACCATGCCTGGCTAATTTATCTCAGTTTTTGTAGAGTCAGGGTCTCGCTTTGTTAACCAGGCTGGTCTCAAACTCCTGGGCTCAAGCGATCCTCCCGTCTCGGCCTCCCAAAGTGCTGGGATTACAGGCGTGAGCCACCGCGCCTGTCTCATATCCACTTCTTTTAATACTCTTGCTCTGCAGGAATCTCTTCTCGCAGAAGGGACCTCCATGACAATAGACAGAATGTATGCAGACCATTAGGAGGAAGGAGAAGGGTGAGCTCTGGGTTTACAGCAACACACTTGTGTACTCCCTTGCTGTTTTATAACGAGCAGGTACCACATATCATTTGTATAAGCAAAATACAAAGATGCATCAGCAAATGCTGCGCTGGACAAAGTTTCCTCCTGAAAGGCGGGCGGGCAGGAGATCCAAACAGGGCCCCCTCGGCCTGGCGGGAGAGAGCTCCTCCCACCCTCCCGTCTCCCCAACATTGCCACGGGGGGAGGGGCCGAAGGAGCCTTCCGCTGGGCAGGGCCGCCCCTGCACTGATGGGAGAAAGGGTTTGGGCAGCCTGAGAAACCACAGCACTTTCACGCACCGGAAACACCGAGCTGTCCATCCCCCTCCCACAGTGTTCATGCTCAGGGAGGAGCCTGTACGGAAGCCAGGACGCCCGCCCTGCCCAAGCCCCGCCACATCCTCGGCGTGGCCAGCAGTAAAACGGCGGCTGCTGGATCTTTACTGCCTTCCAGGTACAGGCACACAGGTCCCAAAGGCAGCAAAGAAGCAGGAAACGAAAAACATTTCAACACACCATGTTCTCAAGTCTTATCTTTGGAGCTGAAATCTATTTTTCACATTTGCCAAAATCAAAAGGTACAAAATTGATGAATACTGACTCATTAACACACTGAGGTGCCGATACACGGGGAGAGCCTTAGCGATTCCTTCTTCCATTCTGTGCCCTGCTGGCAGCTCCCGGCAGGGTCGCGGTGGCGTCTTCAGCTGCCCAGTCCCGCTTGGGACAAGAGCGTCACCATTTCCCAAGCTCATCCCAAGGGCACC